TTAGTCTGCAGACTAAACTATAGGATCCATCGGCTATAGATGGATTTATTGGCTGTGGAACGTCTTCCTGCAGACAGAAACTGCTGGTTTTAGCAGCTAATTGCTGCAATGGGAGGCGTTTGACTGCGTGTCTCTGTGGGAGTGGGGAGTACCAACATGGCAGGCGGTGACTTCATTTTTGTCGGGCTACCAGCAATCCAGTGAATACATAAAGCTCAGGGTTCATATGGCAAATAAAGAAAGTCAGCTTCCTGACGCGCTTCCTGTTGATGATCAACAGGAACGGTTTCCCTGGAACGATGATGGCGGCGCCGTTTGAAGTTTAAATCTGTTTTGTCTCTAATCCAGTGTTGTTCCACCCTGATCCTCCAGGATCTCTGCTCTGCATGGTTTAGACGTTGCTCTGCTGGCAGTGGATGTCAGGTGGGTGAAAGCTGGGAAACATCATGCAGGGCAGAGAGCAGCAGGATGGAGATCCACTCTGGTTCTGTCTGTTCCTGCTGCTGGAGGCTCTGATGGGGTCAGACGACCTTCACGGCACGCCGGGGGTCATCCTGACGTGAGCTGATGCTCTGTTCTCTGAACAGGAACACAGGAGAACCAGCAAAGGTTCTACAGGATGAAACTAGATGCTCACAATGAGTAGAAGGACCGTTTGTCCATTTGATGTTTCTAAACAGCTCAGCTCCAAAGCACGGCGCTGACGGCGTCATGCTGTGGGTCTGTTGTGCTGCCAGGGGTGCTAATGAAGGTTAACGATGATTGTTGTGTTTACAGAGTTTGAATTTGCAGCTGCAGTTTTTCCTGGTTTCTATGGTGACGAACGGAAACTGTTTAATTTTCCTTCCCTGTTAGACCCGAGGAGTTCATCTACTGCCAGGAGCCGGTGGACCACGCTGGAAACGACAGCGCCCGTCGGGAGATGGATTACGGCTGCGTCGGGGTTAGTACCGCCCTCTGTCAGGGGGGGAGGGGGGTCAGAGCTATAACGCCAGCTGACATCATGTTCTTGTTCAGTGGGGCGGCCAGACGAAGAAGGAGGTGATCTTCACCAAGGTTCTCTGCACGGNAAACATTATACTGGGCAAGTACAAATTGTTTCTGGGCAAATGAAATGTGAAAGTAACTTGCCCACAGGGCAACCCCTGATATATATATATATATATGTATATATATATAATTTGCCAAAAGCAAAGCCTACAGCCAATGGTGTACCAACACAACAATAGCGTAAGCAACATTATCTGGGCCCCATATGAAGTACAACACCTGATAAAGGTTCAGGATACGGCGACAGTTCCATAAATCAGCCAACATGATACAATTATTCAATTCTCAGTAGTATATGATCACACATCACACACGGAAAAATAGTGACTGAATGGAACCATTGGTGACAGCGCACTACCACGCGTTACCCCCCAACCCCCCTCCCCCCCTTGAACAGTTTGAGCTTTTCCATAAAGCAGTTGGTATCGGAAGGCAGAGGAAAACCAGGAGCATGATGAATCCTCTCATCTCTGGCTGTGATAAGGAAGCAAACATGGTCAGAGTGGCAGGATGGGAATAAACAGGATATATTTACTCAGTGAGGTTCCCTCTGCCAGATTTAAACACCATCAGAGGTGCAGGACATCAATCTGGAAGCTTCCACTTTGTTCACCAATCAGCGGCGGTAACTGCTGTCAGGCGTGCCGAGCAACACGGATCATCTCCTCTGGGCACTCCAGGGTTAACTTAGTCTGTGGTAAACATCCTAGACCCCACAGCCTGCTGCATCCAGGCAGGAGAACATTACCTGCTACATTCATCCAAGCTGAGGCTGCAGAGCTGATGGAAATACTTCTGATCCTTTCTGCTTCCAGAAGAAGCAGGCGGCTAATGTACAGAATGGGCTGCAAGGACAGCGACGCTATCATTTTTTTACACTTGTGTATAGAAAATGACAGAATACATCAGTCTAAGTCTAGTTAGAAATCCTACTTTCCATTTTCAGATCAGTTTCTGAACCGTTTTTGTGTTCGTTGGTTTTTATGCTGTTTTCCTGTAATATTCACTAAGACGCCTCTGAAGCCTTCAAAGAACAGATGGATCTATATCCTGAGATTAATTTACACATTTAGGGCGCTTTTTTAGATTTTATTTAGGGGGAACCGAGGGATGTGGACAAACTGATGCCACACTCTGAAATATTTCTAAAATCTAAGTTCCTGCATCTCTGTTAAAATGTCTAACTCAAATAAGATTGTTTGTAATTTTCTAATCTCAGTTTCTCCATCATCGCTTCAGATCCTTCTTTTTCTCCCCAGTTTCCATCAGAACAAAACTGTCAGGATTTGGTTATGGAGTGTAGACCCAAAAGCAGAGGCAGGAAGGCAGAGGTGAATTTCTTTTGATTTAATTAAAAAGGGAAACTGAAAACAAAGGCAGGTTATTCAAAAATCCTATAATAAAAAGTCCAAATAAGCATGAAATCAGGAGTCCAAAAATCCAAAAGAATCAAACATAAAAACTAGTCAAAACAAACCAGAAACCGTGGAGACATCAGGGGAATAACTGTCACAACGAGGAAGACTCAGGNATAGATACACGGGCCACTACTTCATCACCACGCTGCTGTACTCCTTCTTCCTGGGATGCTTCGGCGTCGACCGCTTCTGCCTGGGCCACACGGGCACGGCGGTGGGCAAGCTGCTCACCCTGGGGGGCCTGGGGATCTGGTGGTTTGTGGACCTGATCCTGCTCATCACCGGCGGCCTCATGCCCAGCGACTACAGCAACTGGTGCACCTACTACTGAGGGGGCGGAGCTTCTGCAGCTGCTGCTGCTGCACCGGCAGACACGGCGTGGGCCCGCCGGCTGATGGTGCTGTGGGCCGTTCTGGAGAGGAACTCTGCGGGCGAACAGGATCCAGACATTTAATAGAGACGTTGTTTGAAATGTTTGCCTGCAGACGAGCAGAGCTGGTTTCTACGTTCAGGAACTCTGGAAGAAACAGAAACGCTTTGGATCATTTTCTCTCATTTTCTCTGATTCCAATAAAACAAAGATAAACAGACATGAATGACGCTTTAAAGCCTGGAAACTGAACTAGTTTAGAAGAATATCTGCTGACTCACGCTGACTGATGCGTCTGATGGCGGCTCCGTCGCTTTTCCTTCAGTTTTCTGTCTCAGACGCGCAGCGTTTCCTCTGGAGGAGAATGAAGGAGATTGTTTTGGGAGAAAATGTTGGACTAATGAGAATCAGCAGCTGAAATGACTGAAAAACGCAGAAAATGTTCAAACCTGAATATATTTACACAGAAATCTCAAATGTTTAATGTGATTGAAACTTTTATTCTTCCAAACAGAGAAGCAACAGTTATCCTGAAATAAAACTCAACTGATTCCTGCTTTTTATACATTTTAACATTTAATGTTTCATTTTTAAATGTTTTTAGCTTTCTGCTGTTTTTCTCCTCTGAGCTTCAAATATTACCAAGAAAAGTCAGATTTGCTTTTTATTTCAAGTCTAGAATATTTCTGGGAGGAATTTAATATTTATCCATCAGGATGTTATTAATGATCATCTTTATGGGATTTATGGAGGCGGACTTCTTTGTTCTACGGCAGCCCAGAGGAGACAAACTAGTGACTGTAGAGATCAGCATTAGAATGTGACTGCAGCACGTTACGCCTCTAGAAAATCTATATC